AATGGCCTGTAAAGTTAAAAGACCGAGAAAACAGTGGAACCGGGTAGAATATTGATGATTGTGACGGATTATTTGGTGAAAATTGGAGATGGTTATTTGATTTTTTTAAGGGGGTGGAATTTCTTTCATTTGTAAGATTCTCGTGTTGTTGTGAACTATTAAGTTGATCTTGAATATAACTTTTGTTATAAAGATGTTTGACGTGTAGGTTAATGCATGAAAAAAGACTACACTATCCTACTTATCGACATCGAGGAAAAAGTTCTTTCTTTAGTTGTCTTGTTTGTTTTATTCTTATAGAAATTGTGGCTCTTGTCAACTTCTCCTTTTCTTTTTCTTGTAGAATAAATGTGTAAATTTTTTATGCTTGAAGTATCATACTGGGTTGGTATGTTAATTAGATGTTAATCTTAACACCACGATTAATAATTCTTCCAGGATGATTTTCTGCCAAGAACACCAACGCCATTGGAGCATATTTTTGGATCCATCTTCTGGTAAGTTATATTTCTTTAGTTTTTGGTCATCTTTCCGTTTTCTTTTTCTACTTGCATATTCTATTGAGTATTTATCTTAACTAGGATATAGTTTAGATAAATGGCAGGTGTGCTCCACCATTTCTAAACGAAGTTTTAATTCTATGACAGCTTGCCCTGCCTACTATTTCTTGTTTGCTTGAGAGACACATTTATACCAGAAAAGAGAAAGCTTAATGATCCAAGAAGGCTTTATGCTCCTGGTAGAATATACCATATTGTTGAGAGAAAATTTTGCAGGTAGCACCGTCTCTCACTATTGTTTAGTCTTCTTTGATTTATGTGAGGTTCTGAAATACTCAGAATATGCAGGTTTAGTTCATGTTCACTAAAAACGGCTAGGATGCATATTGGCAAGAAAAATAAAATAAACGAACTAAAAGAAATTTATCCGTCTTAGCACCCTTCATTCCAGAAGTTTCCCCTAACTAATCGATTTTGTTGATAGAGTTGTGCTATCTGCATACGCTATCAAGGACATAGATTCCAGGTATCGAATTTAGAAGCTAAAAGGGGATGGATACAACTATTATCACATGCACAGTAAAACCATTTACTTTAGTTTGTATAGTTGAGTTAGATCATGAAAACTGCTCGTGTTTGTCATGTGAGTGAATGTTCATCTGCTGTCAGCCCTCTTCTAATTGGAAGTACAAACAATAGCCAGTCACCTCAAAAGGGGGAGGCTATTAGTGATTTAGTGGTCAACTAGAATGGATTTTTCCTGCTTAAACTGTCTAATTTCCAACACAACGGCAACCTCCCAAATTTCTATTGCCTTTCTAGAGCATTCATGTGCTCTAGGACATGCAGAAATAAAGCTCATATGAAGTGTAATCCCTAAATATTCATTACACTCATACAATAATACTGCTGGCAATAAGATCAGGTTTCATGGTACTCAGTTTTTCATGTGGACATCACAAATCAGTCGAAAATTAAACCCATAGCTCCTCTGCGCGCTCTCTTTAGATATGGGTACTTTCAAGTTCTTGATAGGAGAAGAATACGCAGCACATCTCTGAGTTTTATTTGAACATCTTGATGTCATGTTTCTTCCCCATGCTTTTACATAGTGGGTAGTTTAGTGTGTTGTAAGCCTGTATTTTCTTCTGCCGGATGCTGACTTCACAACTTAAAAATGCAGATATTAAGGTGTTTACTTCATTTAAGACTTTTTAGCACCATCTTTTGATGAAAATTGAATATAAATCATGTCAATGCAAACAGATGTGGAAGATTTCCTCCTGAGGTGAGGACAGCCATTCCAGTTGAGGGAAGATTTGAACACATAGTACTATCGTGTAATACAACATCTGATCATGGTATTATTTGGATAGAAAAAGAAGCTCAAAAGGCTCTTGATGTAAGTATGCAAGCTAGTCCTCATTTTTTATTGTTTACAGGAAGAAAATGATACTTTAATTATTAATTATAAAATAATGGTGCTTTTCTTCTGACTGCAGCCTTAAACCATTTAACCTAAAACCAAGTTTGAAAATTTTTCTTTGCCGTCAGGTTGGCTCTAGCCTCCATCAGAGCATATCGGCCATTTCCACTAAATGGTATTGATTCCAATGAAGTAACAGACTAGATCATGAAGAATTGTATGTGATACTGAATTACATGGTGCAGTTAGTAGGAAAGATCAAGCAAAAGTACGAACTAACAATTTATGCAATGATCTACCATGAAATAAAGGATGACTTAATTTCATATCTCATGGTTTCTGTAATGTCTCAAAATGACTTTGTATTATCTGCATTCCTGATTTTTAATACGGGGTTTGTTTCATCATAGACAAATCCAAAAGTGGTTCGGCCACTATTTGACATTAGCTGGATCCTCTTAATAATCAAATAAACTACACCTAGGCTATTCCTCTCCTGATACTACTATCAGGGGAAACACACTACTTTGCCAATTTTGAGACAGAAGTCATGGCTAGGATAGAAGGTTATAGTTTATACCTAACATGTCCTGTAGGTTGAAGGCCCTTTCCATGGGCCAAATCTGGCAATTTGCCAGTGTTTTTTTTTCTTTTTCTTTTTTTATTAATTATGCTTAATGTGTGTGCCCTGTGAGATATGAAGCTGGGTGGTTCTGCTTATATCTTAAAGTCCCTTCTACTGAACCAAACTCTAAAGTTATGGTGAGAGTTGAGGGTTATAGTTTTATAACATGCACAAATGAAATACTAAAGTAATCAGGAAAAAATGTATCTGGCGATAGTAAGCTATATGTGTGCGGTCAGTAGGGAAGATACACCAAAACTACCAGATAACAACTCATGTGATGATTATGAAAATAAAGTATGATTCAAATTTTGTATCTTACGGTCTCTTTCATGCCTTGATATCGGGATTTGTTTCAGCCTAGACAAGGCCCAAAATGGTTCTGCAAGTCTACAAGTTCCGTTAAGGGTCATTTCTCTAGTAGATTAACTATTACATATCCTTTTTTATTGCTTCCAACCATGTTTTTTTTAGGTTTACCTAGTCATCTTAGCCCCATTAATTATAATCTTATTATTTCTCCCAACTGATGCCTTTAGTCGTCTTAACCTCATTGACCATAATCTTATAATTTCTCCTAAGTGATGCATTTACTTGTAGTTTCCATCGTATATGACCAAACTATTTCAACTGGTCCTCTCATTTTATCTTCATTATGAGCAGCATTTAACCTTCACCAAATGCACTCGTTTCTTGTCCTATGGTTGGTTGAATCCTTTGAGAAATGTTCAAAAGAGGGAGGACCTGATTTTTGAACCAGGAGTTTATTTGTCGTATTGTTTTGAAATGCGAGGTCGAACTATATTATCCTTGAACAAATTCTGAATGATATTGATTCGTTCTCAGAGAATGAAGGAAACTAGTGTGGCTACATCTCCCCCGGCACAGCAAAGAATGGAGAGGAAGCAGACACTAGAGAAGGAGCACATCGACGCACTGGAAAGGGCAGTGAGCTTGCACGTGCCGCATGCAGTGGCACCGTCAGATGAAGCTACAGCAGAAGCATTGCTGGAATCCTCAGAAGAAACAACCAACCCTCCAGAAGAAACGAGCGAAGCGTCCTCACGCGGTGACTCAAAGTTCGGTGGCAGAACTAATTGGCTAGATTTGGTTGAAAAGCTCTTTTCCAGAAACGAGTCTGGAAACCTTGTTCTAAAGAAAGACATCAGTGTTCCCTAATAGCTTCTGGTGGATTGATTGTCCTTTCCTCTTATATGGAGTTTTGTGTGCATTCTTTGCACATCATATAAATTGTAAAGCATATTAATTCCCCCTCATCTCTTGATGTGGTTATGTTCGCGTCGATTGGTTTTTTTGGGTTTTCAGAGTTTAGAGGTAGAAATCCAAAATGAGCACATGGAGTTTTTTCAGAGTCATGTGTTTCTGATGATTTCGAGTCTACCAATATATTAATTGTTTATTTCCATATCATTAAAGAAATGGAAATTTTTTCATTCAAAGTTGTTCATGATTTTTCATGCAAAGCCGAGTTTGCCACGTTTGTTGCTTGTTGCTGAAACTTAATTATGAATGCACAGTTTTTCTGTTCAGGAAGCAAGCAAGCATGCATATTTGCTGGAGTTCTGATCGTAGCAGATTCTGGTTACAAATCATAAAAAGCTGCTAGACTTTGCTCAAATTTATCTGGACGCTTCAGGCTCATCACGTGAAGGTATGAGGAGGTTGAATCCTGAAGCTATGATCTTTTTGAAAAGCTATTTTTGTTGTACATTTTAAAGTAGAGAAAGAGTCACAGGTCGGGGATTTTGCATTGAAGAGCTACGATGCAATCATGCTTGCGGTCGTCATGTTGATTACTGAAGGCCAAAAACAAGCGGCTGTTACATGTCAGCACATTCCTGTACCTGATAGATTCCATGCTTGGGTTGTACACAATGATAAAAGTATCATGTGGACAGTGTAAAAAGATAGTAGGCACATCTGGGTACAAGAGAGAAAATCACCTTTTTATATCTTTATAAATCAAAGAAACTCCCCCATAAACTTTTAAAATTTACAAGAGAGAAAATCACCTTTTTATATCTTTATAAATCAAAGAAACTCCCCCATAAACTTTTAAAATTTAAAACTCTTTAATCTAATAATCGGCGCTAAACACGAAGGATCACTTTCTGGAGACTTGTGATAAAATCTGAAAGTTAAAAGAGAGTTTCCTAATTAATAACCTCTAAATCTAAGGGGGTTTCTAATATTTAGCCAAGATCTAAATAGGATTTTTTTTAAAAAGACCCGTTATGAAACTTTATTAGCAAAACCGATCTATTTTTATATTATTAGCAAAATCGACTTCTTTTTGGTCAACTGGCCAAAAAGAGGTCGATTTTGTAAAATTGAAGCTTCAAAATACACAAGACTACTAGTCCATACATAGGACCGTATTTAGTGGTGCATAATTACACCCTAATGGAGTTTAATTGGTCTCGTGTATTTTTTGAAGTCTAATCAACATGTGATTAGCCCCTAATTAACATGTGATTAGCCTCTAATTAACATGTGATTAGCCAGCACTAATTACACGGAACTACTAGTCCCGTGTATTTTAAAAACTACATTTTACAAGATCGACTGAGGTCGATTTTAAATCCACAAAATGTTGATTTTGCTAATAAAGTTTCAAAAAAGAACTTAAAAAAAATTCATCTAAATATCTTCTCCAACAAAGCTTCCGCATTCTTCACATCCACCATTCCAGCCACACATTGGTGAGTCTAATTCTTTGCCTAATCCTTATTTTTGGCGTTTGCTTGATTGGGACAGGCCAAGACAGTGACTACTTCACTGTAGTTTGACAATGCATTGCTCGCTCACCAGAAGTTTCTCTTTTATTTCCTTATTATTATGCTTCAGACTTTTATTTCCTTAATATGCTTCAGACTTTAAACGCCTTGGTCCTTTTGGGATGTTCTCATACTCAGTATCAGGACAAAATAAAATAGAGTACCTATTGCACACTTCGCATATATTAATTTGAGGCTAATTAGCTCTTAAATACATTATATTTTCCTCACAAGCTAATTTTAAAACATTTTAGCTGTTAATGTTTGCTGAAATTTACATTTAAACAGCAATTCTATTACAAACAACCCAGTTATATATTAGAATAGAATTATATGGGTTTAATTCAACCACCATTGAGCACTAAAAGTTCTAAAATTAACTTGTGAGTGTCAATTGAGAAAAATCGAGCAAAATTCACTGCACAACATAAGGTATTAAAGTGCAACTTTTAAAATCTTTAGGGTACATAATTGCTCCCAACAACAAGCGAGATGAGGGTATATAAGTGCAAAATAGGGAAAACTATATGGTGTTTAAATGCTATCTATCTATTACTATATACTAAAGTAGAAACCTGATGCTTTTTCACCCCACTTGGCAACCTATTAGGGATATAACAGTTTATCTTCCTTTATTACTAATTTCTAATGAAATATTTCTCAACAATTTTCTTTCTTTTCTAATCATTAACTATTTTTATTTGTATGGTTTTCCTTTTAAAAAAAATCAATGGTTCTCTTTTATCTCTATACTAGAATAATTGACACATTCTTTTACGTTTTATGTTTTCTATGCAATTTTCAAATTTGACCATTAATGCGTCATTAATGCATATCTATCTTTTGAGGTTACTTCTAAAAGATCATTAATGCTTAAGAATATACTAAGTTGTTCCGTAGTAATATTATCTTGCAGATGCTTGTAGAAATATTGAACATCAATATTGAGTTGCCCCAGTTAGCTATGAACATTTGACAAGCTTAAGATTACAACAATCATTTTGCTGTAAAGATTGATTGTGTATAGTGTTCAAGTTTTATTGGGATCCCTGCAAATAAAGTTGTGTATATTGTATATTAGAACATTTATTTGGTCAGAGTATTGTGTATATTATATATTTTAAAATTCACTTTAGTCAGAGTATATTTGTACATTCATTTGGTCAAAGTATTAAATATGTGTATATGTATAGAATTGTATATGAGAAAAATGGATATGCTTGATAGTGAGGTGTCTTATTCTCATCCACTCATTAAAATCGGGATCTACATTCACACGAGTTGGGGAATGGTTAGAATATTGGAATGAGTGGATGAAAATAAGACACATCACTACCAAACATACTCATATATATATATATATATATATATATATATATATATATATATATATATATATATATATATATATATATATATATATATATATATATATATATATATATATATATATATATATAGAGAGAGAAAAATGGAGAAACTTGGTACCAAGTTGCTCCAAACAACTTGGTAGTGATGTGGCCTAATCTTG